TTCCATTAAGGAGGACTTTCCCTTTTATACTTCAAATGGCATTATGACATGATGAGTAGACTGAATCAAGCTGCAAGGGCTTGTCAAGTCCCAGAGAATACATATCCCTGAAAAGTGTCAAAAGACATTGGTAGAACATTGTGTACTTATGTGATAAGTTCTGTAAACAAGAATGGAAACTCAATGAATAGAAATAGTGTGCTTTTGAGAAGTATCTTGTGATATTTATTTTCTGTATGTGTGAATTAAATGCATCCAAGCAGCTAGTTCAAGTACCACTGTGCCAAGCTGTGGTTTTGACAGTTACATTGATGTATTTGAGGTGTTAGACTGTGATTATTCAGAAAAGGTCTTGTAAGGTACTTGAAGTCCTGTATGGGAGCATTCAAGGTAGATCAGGATTTAGTCCTTTTCATCCAGGTTGGAGGTTTTCCAGGTCATACCTCTATCTGCCACTGGCTTATACATTAAAGGAAAAGGCATGGCTTCCTCTCAATTTAATTATTGTAGGTATTTACCTCAAGAAACCTGCCACTAACATAGTGACATTGATTTCAGTCTCATGTTGGCAGACCAGGCAGTTATTTGTAGTGACAAACTTGCCCTTCTTTGACAGCTGTCAACTTCACTGGTTTAAAATTTGACTGAACAGGTTATGTTGTCCCTGAGTCAAGTCTTGAATACGGCCAAAACTCCTTGATTGACTTTTGAGATTATTTAATTAAATAGCAGTAAATGTCTTTTCTTATTTTAAGACGGAATTCCCGGTTTTTATTATTCACTGTTTATTTATTCCCTTTTCCATAGTTCTCAGAGAGTGTCAGTGATTTGAGTGGAACTAAATTTGAGGAAGACCATCTGTCTCACTATTCACCGTGGTCTTGTGGCACTATTGGCTCTTGTATAAATGCTATCGACTCAGAGCCCAAGGATGTGATTGCCAATTCAAATGCCGTGTTAATGGTAGGGGTTTTCTGCATGTTATCTCATTAGTGTAATGATACTTACTTGCTGATGTGTCTTCTGTTTGGTTAAACAAGCCTTTTTTTAAGTTGATAGCTTCTATTCTTAGTATTTTAACGTGTTTCTGCCCATTTGAAGTTGTTTGGAATATCTTCTCCCAGTTTTGTAAATAAGCAATGTATTTACTTCAGTGACAGAATGTAGTGCCATGAATAAAATTCTTAAATGTCTGAAACAACTATTTTAATAACAGAGCTCTGTAAATCAAACTTGTAGCCAAGATATTTTAAGTAGATGGTCTGTAAACTGGTAAGAATTCACTCATTTCAAATGTATTCTCTGATTATTAGAGTGGGATCAAAACTTATGGCTACTTAGTTTTGTTTGTGTCTCCCTGGTGTTCTTTATATAAATGTATATGTGTACACATACCTCCTTACAATTTCTGAGGCATCTAAAATAGTCTCAGAATACATTGCAGTGGCAGGCTTGACTGGTTAATACAGGGTCATTGTGGCCAGTTCAGAGCAGGTGTTTTCCATTGCAAAACCACATTTCCTATTTGGCTTAAGTGCAATAGTCTATCTTGTGTGAATGAATCACTGGCTTTTTCAGAATTCTAAGATCTTACGTTGACATTGTTTCAGAAAATCTTTACTTTGAAGTTACCCAAGAGCAGTATACACTCAGACAAAAGTTGAAATACTGTGGACCCAGGATAATCAGTGCTGCTTTGCACTCCCAGAGAATCTGTATGAACTGTTTTCCTAGACTGCACCTCTTGATTGTAAGGCATATTCTCCTAATGCCAACAAATCTGTGAAAATAAAATACGTGGTTTTTTATCACCCAATTTCCATGAGAGAAGAAAAACTAATTGAAAGACTTTAGGGAACAAAAAATTCATAGTATGAATCATGGAATATAGCTTACCTCTGGAGAGGTAAGAGCTCGTGTTTTTTGGTGGATTTCTGCTGTATAGTGTAACAGGTTACCTTTATCTTCTATGAAACAAGTGTTACCAAATCTTATCCCAAGCCTTGTTTGATACTGCCTCCTTCAAGTATAGGAAAGGGTCCTGAAGGACCTTAACGAATACTGTAACTTTTTCTGCCTGGAAACACAAGGTTAGAAAAGCAACATTATCCTTCTAACACTGGCAATAACTTTCTTATGGTGAGTTTACCATTAAAGGGCAATAGTTAAATCATTGCAGCCCATCTTGGCTCTCTAGTTGGACAGATTTTCAGCATTGTATTCAGCAACAATATTCAGGAAGTTACTGGCCAACTGAAGAATCTGAATAACCTCAAATAAGTCCATGCATCTTCTTCTATCTCCTAAATATGTAGGATTTGGACAGTGGGGATGTTAAAAGGAGAGTGCATTTATTTGAAACCCAGAGAAGGGCAAAGGAAGAAGATCCTATAATCCCATTTAGCGATGGACCGATCATCTCCAAGTGGGGTGCAATCTCCAGGTCATCCCGCACGGGTTATCACACGACAGATCCTATTCAAGCCACTGCTTCCCAAGGAAGTGCTACGAAGCCCATCAGTGTATCAGGTACAACTCCAGGTTTCATATGACAATATATCATACATCATGAACGTTTCATCCTGTTCATGCTTACTACAGCAATGGAGGTGCAAAGAACTAAAATACCTGTATATTCTACTTCAAGAACAGAGAATATAACGCGTGGTATCTTAATTTGTTACAGATTATGTCCCTTATGTCAATGCTGTTGACTCAAGATGGAGTGCCTATGGCTCAGATTCTACTTCATCAGCACGTTACGCAGAACGGTATGGACCTTTTTTCTGTGTTGTGTTAAAAGTATTTTCTATAGCTTGCTCCTCTTCAGAATCTGGGTGGGGGGGCAGGGGGGAATCTGGAACTATTAATAGATGTTCTTAATTTTAAAGTAAAAGATTTCTATCCAATATAAAGCCTTGGAAAAACTAGGTTAAAACTTGTGTAGTCTTTAATACTTAATGCAGCTAATAATACCCAATTACTAACAATGTATCCCTTGAGAGACCTAATCAAAGAATTGGAGTCAGGTACTGCCAAGCTGTCATGTCAAAATCTGTGATCTTGAGTAGTTTTGTGGTTTTTTTTTTTTTCAAGCTTTTTTGCTACATCTTACCCATATGTAAAATAAGGATGTTTGCTCCATATAATGCCTTGGGATATTGTGAACCCAAATGAAGATGAAGAGCATGTTATCTTAGCACATAGTTTCTGTCCAAAAATCTAACATAGGCTGGCAAAGTTTATGGGGCCTTTGATTTAGAGAACTTGTTTTTAATTCCTAGTTTTGCCTTCTTTCTCTTAAAGGGACAGGTTCATAGTTACAGATTTGTCTGGTCACAGAAAGCATTCCAGCACTGGAGATCTATTGACTATTGAATTGCAGCAGGTAAGATCAGATGATATACCATGTGAGTTTTTTAATTTAAAAAAAAGTGATTTAGTAAAGTTATTTAAAATAAATTTTCATAGTGTAGCCTACAGAAAATAGTACAATTGACAAAATGATCATTAAGGATTAACTAGACGCTAGTACCACAACACTTAGTATGATGCATAAGGACTGCTACTTACGAGCTGTTCCATTGACATTAGCAAGGCCGTTTTTGGGAGAAAGTGGTGGGCCTAATACATGCCAGCAAATGCAGAACAAAATAAATGCTGTGTGTTAAAGGAATACGTAGTTATCCATCTAGCAAGAGATCTCTTCTTTTTGTAAACTGGTTTATTTTGCCATTTGACAATACATGGTTTATTTGTAGTTGTTGGTAACTGATATGTTTCTTTCTGTAGGCCAAAAGTAACTCATTATTACTTCAGAGAGAGGCGAATGCACTAGCCATGCAACAGAAGTGGAATTCTCTAGATGAAGGCAGTCGTCTTACCTTAAATCTTTTAAGCAAGGAAATTGATTTGAGGAATGGTGAGGTAAAGAAAGGGGTAATTGGGATGAAACAAATCTTTGAGGTTTTTTGTATATACATAAGTGCATGCATTTTAACTAAGAGTTAAAACTCTTAGTTCTAACGTTCCCAAATATTTATAACGCAAGTTAAGTCACTGTTGTTGTTGCACCCAGTTATTTCCCTGAGATAAGTAGGTGCATCTGCTATGCTGCTGCTCCAATCATCTGTTTACAAAATGGGAAGAATGTGACAATCCATTGTCATGCAATCATTACTTTTCATTCTAGTTGTGCGTGTTATAAATCTAAACATTCTGCAAATGGACTCTACGGAAGTGTTCAGTATTCATTTTATCTCACTGTTTCAGTGCTTAATGTGATTAGATTTAGCTTTGTATCCTATGTTTGGGATTTTTAGGATACCTTTGTATCCTATAATATGTTTATGCCCGAAGTTCTATTTGTATCTAACTAGTTCTTTTGTATTGTAGTAATGTTGTGTCCTGGAAACGCATCTTCTATCTTCACTTTAGTACTAGAGTGTTGTGTGAAGCAGGTGAAAAGCTAACTTGATACTTAGAGAACATATTAATTCTTTTTTTTCAGACTGATTATACTGAAGACTGTGCAGACACAAAGCCAGATCGAGACATTGAATTGGAGCTGTCAGCCCTTGATACAGATGAACCTGATGGGCAAGGTGAACAAATAGAAGTACGTACAAAAAATTTGTGTGTCTAAAGAGGTGACTGGGTCCTTTCATTTGTTGTTAAATAACTTCTAAATTTCTTTCTGAATTAGTAGACTATGTTGATGGCAAAGCCTTTTGTTTTTAGTCTTTGTATGGATATCAAACACTTGCCTTATTTTAACACTAATGTGTAGCAACTCATACTTCTCATTCAGATACTTGGCAGTTAATATTACCTAAGTTAAAAACAGCTCCCTGTGTTCTTTGTCATAGCTTTCAGCTTTTTGCTCTTTATCTTGTGATAACATTACTAATCATGGGGAGTCTGTACCTTTCCCCTTCAGTGCTGAAACTGTAGTTAAGAATGTTTTACATGGAAGTTTACATTTAAATGTGATCATTTAGTTTAAACTTTGTGCTCACCTGATTCTAATAGTAAAGTCATTTAAGTGATTGTAATCCAGTATTCTTTTATTTTCACTACTGCTCCATTGTTTGTTTGTAATTCTGTGCATCTGCCCCAGTTTCTCCTATGCTATCCTCCTTTGCTGTGCAGTCATAAAACATTCTGGTGTTCATTCCAAGCATTACGATCAATTGTCCTTTTTTTAAAGCATCATACACTTCAAAGAAATTAAGGTTCTTATGAGGAACATATTCCATAATACATTCTAATACTGGCTTACAGTACTGGATACAGCTTTTGTTTGCTATGCCAGTGGTATGTGATGCAGTACTGTAGTATGAATTGTGAATCACCATTACATGGATGGAAAGACCTTTATCTTAGCATTTCCTCTGCCCCTAATTATTGAAACGGCTCTCACTGTCTTTATTGCCTCCTTTGTATCTCATCTGATAAACCATTTTTTTAGCAACTGATGTTTATACTACTGTTGTCATTCACTGCCATCTTTGAATAATTGTTTTTTGTCCTTTTTCCGATAGTAAAATGTGGTAGACATTCCAATAGTATGAAATAAAATTAAAGAGTCTTATGATGAGACTCCCATTTCCATCAGCTTTATGTAGTGGGATGTAATAGGAAAACTTAAAGCTGGTAGTGACAATATTGATGGACATTTCTCCTTTTCTCCTGTAGGAGATTCTGGATATACAGCTAGGTATTAGTTCTCAAGATGATCAGCTGCTCAATGGAACAACCGTAGAGAATGGGCATCCACTAAAGCAGCACCAGAAAGAATCTATGGAACAGAAGAGACAAAGTTTAGGTGAAGACCTTGTGATTCTGTGAGTGTTAGACAAAACAGCAGTGTCTGCCAGTATTAGACAAACAGCAGCATCAGAATAGTTGAAGCATGATTGTTTAAGGATGAACTACATGCCTACTCAGACTTGGATTAGACATCTGCATTGTGTATACATGAAGTGAGAAGAATCTGTTAACAAATAGAATTAGGTCACAAGTATGAGAGTCACAGGATGGTACCCTTGTGCGTATGCATTGTTGTAATCGTATATACTGAAACGTGTCACAGCTGTTAAATACTTTTCACATTCGGTAAGCAAAAAATGCAAAAGTATTTTTATAGCTAACAGACTAAGAAAAACTTCAAAAGGTTAGTGTCATAATGTTTGCACAAATCTCCATAGAGAGGTAGTTTTTAAAATACACTATTTTAGGTTTATATGTTCTGTAGTCTTTAATGTGTAATGCAGCCTTTGAAAGTGAGGCAGACTGCATTTAACATCTTGACCGTACCATGCCATAGTAAGGTGTTTAGCCTGTTGCTAAAAATGAGTTTGTCAGTATTTATTTAATGCACACAATTCAGTTCCGGATACTTGTGCATGTACTTGTTTAATATTTGTGTAACTTATTTTTCTCCTCAGGGAGGAGCAGAAAACAATCCTGCCCGTAACTTCTTGCTTCAGTCAGCCGATCACAACATCTGTTAGCAATGCAAGCTGCCTGCCCATCAGCACACCAGTCAGTGTTGGCAGCCTCATTTTGAAAACTGCTCACATTATGTCTGAGGATAAAAATGACTTTTTAAAGCCTGTTGCAAATGGCAGGATGGTTAACAGCTGAAAGGCAGTCATCTTTCCAGCTTGTGACCACACCATGGAAGCATTTACACTAGCTTTTTATATATATAATAT